GGCCAAAACACCTGGGGACCCTCAGGCTGAGAACCACTGCTTTAATTCCTATCTTAAGATTCATCGATGATATCTTCTAGGCTTGGTTGATCCAGTTTGTTAATTTCTTAATTCGTTATTAATTCATTAAATAATTACCTTTAGAAGCGATATTGATACGTTTTGGCAACCCGGAAGTGTTTTTGCCATATCGAAGCCGCGCCCCCATCTTCCTTACGACTTCCACCAGTGAATCGTAAATGCTGGGGGCGTGGCCTTTAGGAACAGCTGTTCTTACCCACGCCCACCTCCTTCCTCTTTGCATCGGCGGCTTTGCAAGGTGGGTGTGACTACCTCCCTGACGACAAGCGGCGATGTGGAAGAGCTGGGCGTAGCCACGCCCACCTCGCAAAGCCGCCGATGCAAAGAGGAAGGAGGTTGGCATGGCCAAGCACAGCGCTCCTCACTCAGAGGTCACTGGGGGTGAGGCCTCCGAGGAGCGCTGTCCTTGGCCACGGCCACCTCTCCCTTGGACAGTTTGCCAGGGAAGAGAAAGAAAGGTGAGAGATTTAAAAACCAACACTTTTCAAATCTCTCACCTTTCTTTCTCTTCCCTGGCAAGCTGTCCAAGGGAGAGGTGGGCGTGGCCAAGCACAGCGCTCCTCGCTCGGAGTTCGCTGGGGGCGAGGCCTCCGAGGAGGGCTGTGCTTGGCCACACCCACCTCTCCCTTCTGCCGCAAGGGAAGGAAGGGAAACTGCGAGATTTTAATGGTTCTGGAGGGAGGGAAGGGCACCTTCCATTAACGAAACAAAGGAAACGATTCATATTTCCTGGTAATTTCGATCTTTTTTTAAAGAAAATTTTGGAAATAATTTAAAAATCGAACCTCCAGCGCCCCCTACATATGAAACGGGTTTAGAAACTTTTTTTTTCTTGATCAACCAAGCCTAATATCTTCTGATAGAATGTGTGCGTGCAAAAAATGCGTTCATTTTTCATTTCTTTTTGGTTACATTGGAGAACAAGAGTATTTCAGAACAGAGGTTTGAGCTGGTGTGGCTTGTATAAACAGAATTCACAGGAACCCCAAATCCACTATGTCTGAACGTGTTCAAATGAACGTGCGTCCCATGTGAGGCAATATCTTGAGCACAAGGCTTACTGACTTACTGACAATTAAGAAGCAGCTAACATGAATTACACTGCAAGATATTTCATAATGAAGAGGAGAATCAACAATGTAAATGATTGTAGAAAGTGCTTTTCTCTGCATATAACAGATTAGGAAGCTTTTCTCCCCAGGAAGAGTGAGGAATATAGCTAGACTGTATCTGAACAAGGTGATGATATAAGCTTCTAGAGTAGAACTGGTTATTGATCAATTGGAGTGGTGAAATGGTTCACTGAATAGGATCCCATGGTACATAGCACAATGACTGATTAAATTGATTTGTCCATAGCTGCTGCCTTTCTTTTGCTGAAGCCCTTTAACCTACTTTAGCCCTTTCAGAGAGGTTTAGTGATCAGTTTAGGGAAATAATGCTGTGCTTGTGGTGTATGTCTGAATAAAAGTTGACTTAAATTTGTTCTAAGGTACATAGAAGTACAACTTTTTTTCGAAACAGATCAGTTCTTTTCTGGAAGTAATATTTGTAATCAATATTCTCCACTATACCCGTGTGTGGGGGAGTGCTAAGAATGCAAAATACATGTTTTTATTTACATTGTTTTAATCCAGTTCCGTTTTTCCTTGTTTCATTCTACATGGCCAAAACATTTCCTTAGAATCCTTTAAAAATAAGTTTCCTTTCTATGGTGAAAAGCATAGTTTTACCATTTTGTAGCTGAATAGACAGAGTTAAACTATTATGTTGTGTATAATAATAATAATAATAATAATAATAATAATAATAATAGTTTTATTTCTTGCCTGTCCCTTCTTACGACAGGTTACAACATTACTAAAACATAAACAAACACATAATCATTTTAAAACACTCAGTAAAATACATATATTAAAATATAACTCCATAAAATACATGTCAAAATGCATAAAACAAAAACAAGGCACACAGTAGAGTTTAAAATTCACCATTAAAACTGTCTTCTCAGCATGGCTTTTTCTATCCCATGACAATTAGATTTCCCTAAAATTTTCTCAGTCATAATTTGGGGTTACAACTCAAGAAAAAAATCCTCATTACACTGAGAGTTTTAGAAGGAAATTTCATAGCCTCTACCTTCGCATTGCCAAGTATTCTCCTGTTTCCACAATTTTTGGGAAGGGGGAAGAAGTGGGTAGTTGGCTCATCCCATGACCAGAGCCCACATCCTATGACATGATGCCACACAGAGCTTTGCTCAGTTTGCAGGGCTTGGAAACATTACTTTTTCAGATTATATTATTATTCCACATTTGCTGGGTTAGGCAAACACTGCAAATTAAAACATTCTTTTTTATTTGAGGAAGACCCTATCTAGAAATCTAGTGCAACTATATGATGAAGTTCTACCAGATGTTAACCATAGAATTACACTAGAAGACGATTTACAAATACCTAGAATAGTTTTCTCTTAGGAATCTTTAGGCCCTCCAACACAATTCTGTGGTCAATTTCTGTGGTCAATTTCTGTGAAAGATCATAGAGCCGTACTGGAGGTTTGAGATTCCTAGAGGAAACGGATTAATGAAATGTATAAATAATCAAAAACGGAAGTATGGATTGTACAATTGGTTAAAAGCTGCAGTATATATGGCCAATGGCGAAAGACCATAACTTCACAACCTTTGTCAATTTCTTTACTCTTAAGAACTGTGCCACCTTGTAAGTTCTCAATTACCAACCATCTCATTTGTAGTAGACATCCAGAACTTCTTCTGGTTCTTGTCATGTTAATGACATTTTTCCAAATTCACATTAGACCTCATATCAAGCTCTTGACAAAACCTCCTGATTAAAAAGAAACAATATAACTGGATCAGTCAAGTAAACCAAAATTAACCTTACTGTATAAAGGAAGATGTGGAGGGGGGGGGGGCTGTTAAGGCAGAGCAATAGTAGACCAACAGCCACCTGATGCTGCCAGGGAAGAAAAACACCTGTCAGCCATCAGACTGGGCTGGTTGCATTTCTCATCTGGCAAATAGGAACTATAAATACACATTACCGTCTTTTGCTCATGGAAGAATATAGGTCAGCGCATGTGAGTCAGAATTATGTGTGCAGCAGGACTACTTCTGAAAGAATAGTCTGAAAACTTTGTGTGGCAGATGTTTAGACATTTGCTGCCCTCTTGTGGCCTGTGTAGTCATGATCTCCCAAGAGCTTCCAGGGGTCTTTGGATGTTGAAATTTTGCCTTCTATTTTCCAGTGAGTGTCTATTGGTATGTAAAGGACAGTATATATTTATGAATGTGTAATAATAATTTGAATTGATCACTTTACATTTGACAAATGTGAAATGAACTTTTGGATAGCTCTCTAAACACTTAGATCTGAGCTAGGCAAGCTGGGAAATTATGGAATTATAGTCCAAGAAAGCACATTTTTCAAGCTCTGTTCATACTGTTCACAGTGCATCATATACAGCAATCCATACATATGTAACTTGTTCTGTATTTCCAGTAAATGAAACTTCTTGAAACGGACAAAATGAAATGAAACTTCTTGAAACGGACAAAATTTAATCAAGGATTATTGGGCATAATCTTTTCATTTAAACTACATTTTACAGCAGACTGTCAGTTAATCAGAACTCAAGCACCCAGAACTCTCAATTAATTGTCAAATGTTTACTGACTGCCATTTAACTAAAACTGCATACTGCAGTCACAAAGCTGTGTTTACAATACAGTAAAGGTGTGTTACATTAAGTTTTTAGTTATTGTATTTCAATAGTAACATCAAGTCAGTGCAAAGTTTATGGTATAGTATAGTATTAGTCAGGTCTATTTTTAACATTAATTCTCAAGCAATCAGAAACTACATTTATCCAGCATCTACCAATCCCCATGGGTGCTAGTTAACTGAGAATCTAGTGCATAATGTTTATTTTGGACTAAATACTAAGAACTGGCAAATGCTTCAATGAGAGATTCTACCGCAGTGGTTCTCAGCCTGTGGGTCCCCAGATGTTTTGGCCTTCAACTCCCAGAAATCCTAACAGCTGGTAAACTGGCTGGCTTTTGTGGGAGTTGTAGGCCAAAACACCTAGGGACCCTCAGGTTGAGAAACACTGATCTACCCTGACATATGGGGACACCTGTGCTAAGTTTCTACTCAGACATGCTTGTTTAACTTCCAGCATAATGCTGATGCATGATGCGGCTTAATGAGCAGCTTTTATGGACTTCAGAAGTCAGCCAAGAATCTTCACTGTGATCATCTCCCTCCTTTCCTTTTCCAAGGTTAGAGGGCCAAATTGTCCTGCAGGAGACTGTGGGGGGCTCCTAGTTCCCCCAGTTTAATGCTATACGCCCCCCCCCCCCAAATACCAATAGATTATAGATCACTTCCTTCCCCTTTCCTTGGGGATGTCTTTGTCATGCTTTTGGTTGGGCAAAAGCATGACAAAGTCATCCTCAACTCCATTCCTTTTGAGGCACTTCAGGATAAGTTTTTTGGGGGGTGAGTGGGAAGGCCTGGAAGCCACAACAATGACTCTTGGAGGGCTACATGACAGCCATAAACTGAATGTTATCTACCCATGCTTGGAAGGGAGTGAGTCTCCATTCATAGCCTTTACCATACTATGAATGAATTGAAGTTGTTGCTTGTGATAATGTACTGAAGTTCTGTTTGCTGTAACATGAAGTGCAGATCTCGATTGGCATATGCTCCTTCTGCTTCCCTACAAGCCCTTGAGTAACTATTTTGTTTAGGATTGTCTTTCTGTAACATACAGAGCTATTAACTGGAATATACATGCTGATACATTGAAATACTTTTTCGTCTGTGAGTCTAAAGGGTATCTTTGTAAATGTCTCCATTAAATATATATATATACTTCTGTTTTCCAGATGTTACAACTGTGGTGGCCTCGATCATCATGCTAAGGAATGTACTCTACCTCCACAGCCAAAGAAGTGCCATTACTGTCAGAGTATCATGCACATGGTGGCGAACTGCCCGCATAAAACTGTTCCGCAGCAGCCCACTAGTTATCAGGGAAGATACGAAGCAGAACCCCAGCCTTCCACATCAACATTCGTGAGAGAAGGTGGAGGGGCCTATGGCTACACATCTCCATCTTATTCTCAGGAGGGAAGGGCAGACATCTTAGAACGTTCAGGCCGGTCACCGCAAGAAGCCACTTCAAGTAAGATATCTCTATCACCTGAAGAACAAAGCCGAAAAGGGCCCTCTGTCCAAAAAAGGAAAAAGACTTAAAGAGCTTTCATCACAGCCCTTTGTTTCCTTATCCTCTTGGGATGTCTACCTCATTCAAGCACAAGGAGCATAATTCCACTCATCTTGCAGCCAACCTCAGGTTCCTAACTACTGTTGTAGAACTGCGGTCTTTTCCAAAATGAAACGGACCAGTCACTCCGAGCAAATTTCATTTTTAGTATAAGGTAATATGTTTTATTGAAGTGATTTGGGTATACAAACAAACAAACAAGCCACAGTTTTCCATTGTGGTTATGAGCCACCATGAAATATTGGTCCCCTGCCTTCTCTCTTCTAGAGCACTGCTTCTTAAACTGTGGATTCTGACGGCAAATGGGGTCCCCTTAGCTCAATGTTGTAACCTCCCCCCCAAAAAATGGCAACAGTAAACATTACCTAGTGGTTGTTTTAGACATTCACACTGTTGTGCAGTGTTTACAGTGTTTGCAGAAGATGCTTCAGTTATACTTCATAAAAAGGAAAAGCCTTGTAAATGCTGATTTCACACACACACACACACACACAGAATTATAGAATCATAGAGTGGGAAGAGACCTCGTGGGCCAACCAGTCCAACCCCCTGCCAAAAGGTAGGAAAACCGCATTCAAAGCACCCCTAGCAGATGGCCATCCAGCCTCTGCTTAAAAGTCTCCAAAGAAGGAGCCTCCACCACACTCCGGGGCAGAGATACATCCATACATACACATACACACCTCTATACCCAGGGTCACATAAAAAATTATTGGGCCAAAAGGTGTCCCAAGTGGAAAAGTTTAAGAAGCCCTGTTCTACAGCAACCAAATATAATAATAATAAATCTTATTTATATGCCGCTTTTCTCCCACAGTGGGGACCCAAAGTGGCAACCAACATTTTAAAATACAATACAAATCAACCACAGTACAATACAAATCAAACAGAAGCATTTGGTTCCATTTTTCAATTAAATGCTTCAAATTATGAATTGTGAATGTGGCTTGATTCATTAAACCATAGTGAAGACCAATTGTAATTAAGGTGTGCAGGGTTTAGATTATTAGTAAACAGTGGTTAAACCAAAATGAAAGTGACAACCTTTGGTCTTTGCAAGCCATGCTGCAAGAGAGGAAGGGGAAGGGAAGAAAATTTTGAACTGGCCCTTTGTTTGAGTTTGTATTGTCTCAAATATATACATTCAACACCCAGTTTGCTTGGATACATCATCCCTTGGAAAGCAATAGTTTGAATTATATTTTGACTTAATATTCCTGTATTTTTTTCATGTAACATGTCATCTTTTTTCTCATGATAGAGAAAAAAAAGGGGGGGTAAAATAACTGCAGAAATGATTGCATGAGAATCCAAAGAAATTTGGTTACTTAAAACTGCCATGGTTGTGGTACTAAATATATTAAGACATCCCTGTAGGCTTCAGGGTAGATTTTCCCCCTCCTTTAACTTCCCAGGTCAGCAATGTTTTTGTTGTTTTTTTTTTAAAAAAGAAAAGAATGTTCTCAACTTGAAAGGATAATGCCTTGCTTTAAAGATGCCTCATTATTGCCACAATGTTTAAAAATGGAGCTCCCCTCTTTTGCCCTTCCCACAAAGACAATGAATGTGTAGTTTTCTGTGCTGATATCTCATATATTGTATTAAATTAATATGGTTTAAATGCAGGTTACATGACTGCGAGGGAAGAATGTATACGTTGAAATGATTGTTTAGAGTGGTATTGAAATACCACCTTGAAGCTGTGTATTTTGTGTAGACCTGGAGGTGTTATGAGGGCAGCAGTAGCAGCAGCAACCATTCCTTCTTCAGCTTCGTCTAGATATTATATAAGTGAATTGCTTACTAAATGTTTTGGAATCTGTACACTTGGGGACATTTTCTGACAGCCCATTTTCCCACTCATTCCAAATCCTAAGAAGCACTTCAGCAAAGTCAACAATGTGCTCTACATTTTGGAGATCCAATTTTGCCCAGGATCTGGGAGATACTGGGATCTGCTGCAGTGCATTCTAGAGCTTGTTCCTGTGACTTTCTTTAATGAATTGTAGCCTCTTTCATCTGTACCACAGTGCACGTTGGCAATGTGAATTTTGTAGTTGCCACAATTTCTAGTTGGCTTGGAGCCACATTAAATGGTCAGTATAGGTGGTAAAGTGGGTTAAACTGCTGAGCTGCTGAACTTGCAGACCAGAAAGTTGCAGGTTGAGATCCAGGAGTGGGGTGAGCTCCCGCTGTTAGCCCCAGCTTCTGCAAACCTAAGAGTTTGAAAAAAATGCAAATGTGAGTAGATCAATAGATGCCGCTTTGGTGGGAAGGAAACACATACTGGCCACATGACCTTGGAGGTGTCTACGGACAACACTGGCTCTTGGGCTTAGAAATGGAGATGAGCACCAAGCCCCAGCGTCGGACACGACTAGACTTAAAGTCAAGGGAAAACCTTTACCTTTAATAGGTGAGCCCTTTGTGTAGAAAGTCATCATTTCAATTTCATTTGACCATGATTAAATGCTGCCATTTCTTCCACAAACCAAATAATATCTGATGCTGATTGAACATTTTATAGTACTGTAAGTTCTAGACAACCTGAGTGTTTAAATGTTCCTCACCCAATCAGTTACCCATATGTAGGCGGCTCAGATACCCATCTCTACTTTCAAAGAACACATTTGATTGGGATCTTTTCACACACAAGCCCCCATAATAATGTAAGGGATCTATTCCTAGTGCTACAGTCAGACTTGTTTGGCTTTGGCTGATATGAAAGCCACTTTTGTGTTTGTGGATTGCTCAGTTATAATTATAAGCCAAGGACTTGAATTTGCCTGTGGATAAAGATGCTGTAGAAACCATCAAAGGTGTTATTTCCATTAAAATGTGTTGCAGGTGAAAAATATAGTATGCAGAAATGCTTTCCACGTAGGAAGGAAAGAAGGGAGATTGGTTGATTCTGAATTCAAAAATATTCCGTGAAGGTTTGAACTACGATCTTCAAACTACACTTTCTTTTGTTGTTCCATCAGCAGCAACAAGACCTGTTTTGGTCAAACTCCAACTCACTGCCTAGGCTTTCAGCAGAGAATATGAGCACACTTGTTCCTATGCTGATTTGTTTAGATGCTATATTTTTGCTGCTGCTGCTGCTACTGCTGCCAGGAAACGTATAAGGGTCAAAGGCCTCAGTAACAGGCACAAATCCTATGGAACTTTGCTTGAATTCCATGACAGTGTTTGAGAGAAAGGAAAATCTCAACGGTTTACACCGACATTCTTGGTGTGCTACAATGCAAAGGGTTTTATTTGACGATACTGAATGTGATATATGTATAGAGGAGTACGTCCTTGCCTTATGTAAGGGTTGTAAACTTATTTAAGTTATGTAGACAAATCAAAGTGGCATTGCATATCCTTTTAGCAGGTATGATAATAACTGGGTTATACAGCAACAATGCAAAACCTAGGTCACTTTGAAAGTTGAACCAAAGTTCCTCAACCTATATATATATATAGTATGGTGGAAATGATGGATTTGATACTTTCCCATGTTTACATACTTCAAGACCTGACATTATTGTGAAATGAATAATTCCAGCAACCTCCAACTGAATTGCTAAGAGAGGCTACCAACCCTATCTTATTATTAAAATTTATGTTTTATTTTTATATATCAGAGGACGATCACTATTCCAAAATAGCCTTCTCAGGACAAAGAACCTTACTCAGGGAAAATGCCATGTAATTCATTTTTTCTTCTTTTCTTTTGCAGATGTTCTTGTTTTTAATTGCTTGCTCAGAAATAACCAAAAATACTTTTATACGGCTATTTACTACTACATACATGTTATAAGCTGATGAACTACCTCTGTTTACATAGAGATGAGTTTGTGAGAGCTCACATATCCGTTTTTTTCTCATTATGCTTTCCCTTGCCAAAAGAAGTGCAGTAGTATGTCTGTTCCAAAGTGAACATATGTGACTTGACATTGACAAATATGGCTGATTTTCAGAGTACTGGAGTGGGCAGCTTCTCCCCATTTCTGAAATTCTATGCCACATTGTTTACATAGGGAATAGTAAAGTTATTCTGTTTACAGCAAACAACTACCTCAAACCTACTATATAAGCAACATCTTTGTGCTGCTCAGGCCTTAACGTGGCTGTTGATCCTATGGTACATACCGATTGTTGTTTTAATGCGGCAATTAATAGTCTCAGCTTCTGTGACGTGCTTTCACTGCAAATGTTAGGACAACTGTGTGCTTTACATTTTTTTAAATGATGCATTCACTTGAAATGATGTGTCTTTCTTAAAGTTTAGGGGGGTTTTTTTGCCTGAAAAAAAGGATGCCCACACGGAAACATGCACAAAGACAACTGATTTTCCTTAGTATGCGGGAATTAATTAATTAGCTGTGCGCTACAGTAAAACCACAGCATTTTATTTTGCTCTGTTACTTTGGCCAAAAGACCTTGAAACGAGTTACAGGGGAGAGTGGGGCTTGGGGGCTTAGAGCTAATTCTCTTAGAAATGTCATTTCTCCTTTGGCATCTCTCCTGCCCTCAAAATATATTGGGACTGATCTCTTGTTAGAAACAGTAGAGTCTCGCTTATCCAACATAAATGGGCCAGCAGAACATTGGATAAGCAAAAATGTTGGATAAGAAGGAGGGATTAAGGAAAAGCCTATTAAACGTCAAATTAAGTTATGATTTTACAAATTAAGCACCAAAACATCATATTTTATAATAAATCAGTAGAAAAAGCAGCTCAGTACATGGTAATGTTATGTAGTAATTACTGTATTTATTAATTTAGTACCAAAACATCACAACGTAGTGAAACAGCTATGGATCCGAGCAGGAGGCAGACTGCGTTGCATGATACAGAACGTTGGATGAGTGAAGATTGGATAAGCGAGACTCTACTGTAGTTGAGAATTTTACCAGATTCCATACTAAGATCTGTAGGGATTGTGCCACTTAATTAATCCAAAACACTATGCGCACACTTACATAGCGTCTCTTAGAAAGACCATTCTAGAAGCGGGGGGAAAACCCCAGGACAATTACTTAGGAGCTGTTTGAGTCCTAAAATTTGCTCTAAATATGTTATTCTTTTTGCCAAATGAAGGCAACTCAATTCTTTGTTTTAATTTTTAAAAACCACCTTTAATTTGTGCTAGTGGTATCCCAAAGTTACTTTAGTATGTAGTTTTGTGGATGGTGACCCATGAAAGTGTTTATAGTCCTTGTGACCTTCTTTGTAAGAAAAAAATTAAAAAGAATGTGGGAAGATCTCATTAAGTCTTAAAGCTAATTTAAATTAATTTATCTCTAAGAAATGTTTATCATAAAAATATATGTGTGTGTGTTTTCCTCCTCCTTGTGTTATGACAGATATGAAAGTAATTGGGAAAAAGGTGTGTGCAGATGCACTGAATTTAATTTTACTAGATGTCTCGAATGAGATTTGATTACTTTGTCTTTTCTCACTTTTAAAGACTTGTTAAATATGTCTTGTTCTGTTGTATGTCGGCAATATTTTGAAGATATGCTGGTTGTATTGCTTCTGTCATTTTGACTAGCTAGTGATGAGATATTGGCATAGGAACAAAAGGCTCTATCAGGCAGGAACATAGGATGTGGGAATGTTTTGACCACTGGGCCACATTCATCTCTCTGATGGATATCTGATCTCCACAACCCAGAAACCTCAGATACAGAAGAAGGGTGAAGATGAGCAGATTTGGTGGTAACAACAGGGCAAAGTATTTTAAGAGGTGTCCTAAAATGAAATTTTTTAGGCTTTTAGAACTAAGACTATAAGCTTGAAGCTACATTTCAAGCACACAGCTTTTCTTTTGAAAGTGCAAGTTGCCAGCCAGCACAACAGACTGAGAATAAAACTGAATGTTAGAAACTATTTGGGCATTTGCTACAATAGTTGCTAACCTAAAATGGCACACAAATTCTGAGAAGACACCATAATGATTTTGACTACCTCTTGCATTGAATTCTTTTTTATTCACGAATTAGTTAACGAGTATTTCCAGAATGGCTTGAATCTGTATGTTGTTCATAAGAAACCCAATAGCCAGAGACCAAAGTGAACATTGATATCTATGCGTCTTGAGTATTGTCTTTTTATCTAGCTTTTTTGAGCCTGTCCTCTCTAGTGTATAGATTACCTCATGGTCCATTTTGATTCATGTTTTGTTTACAAGATATAATAAAGAAAATCACTTGAATTGTTTGGGTCTTTTGAAAGAAAAGACAGTTGATTTTTTTTAAAAAAACTTAATTTTGGAACATCATTTTTTCCCCTTCATGTTTACTTACTGTCTCTGTCTTGTTGGATTGAAGCACTGATTGCCTTTCTACATATCCTGGATTTTATATTTTCATTTAATGCCTATTGCCTAATGTTTGTATTCCTATCAATCATTGATATGTGACTGAGGTTTAAAAGGATTACATGATGAAAAATAAAACATGTAACATTGACATTTACCCAAAGCTGCTGAGATTTTATTACATTGCACATTCAAGACGGGAATTGGGATGATGCATTTTCATCAAAAGAACCACTTTTCCTAAACTAGTGAAAACATGAGGGCCATGAATATGTGACCTAGAATTCAGTATCCATAACTGCCTTAGGGCCCTTCCACACAGCCATATACCCCAGAATATCAAGGCAGAAAATCCCACAATATCTGCTTTGAAGTGAGTTATCTGAGTCCACACTGCCATATATTCCAGTGCAAAGCAGAAAATGTGGGATTCTATTCAGTTGTGTGGAAGGGGCCTTAGTGAATTCTAGCCAACATCATTTTACCTGTCTGAACGTATTTCCCTCTATGAGCCAGCTAGAAGGTGATGTACTCCAGAGCAGGAACACCTCTGTCCTTAAACCCCACACCAGCTTGATATGATCAGCAAAAAAGATAGTCCATGGGCTTCAAGACACAAAGGTGTAATACACAAGATCCAAAGGTATAAAATCCATAGAACAAGGCAGCATGAAAATCCAATACACAGATCAGGAGAAAACTTAGCAAAACTTGGACCATGAAACTAGGGACAGTTGGAAACAAGACCGTCATGAAATTCCAGTGTTGACGAGACTGAGTGAACTCTCTCCCTTATATCAATACTAGCTGTGCCCTGCCACGCGTTGCTGTGGCCTATAGTAAAACTTATCAAAGTTGAGGTAGATATCTGGACTATTATGAAAGAGAGGTACCTACCTATTCCTTCCCCCTTTTCCTCCCCCTTTCTCTCCTTTCTTCCTTCTCTAACTCTTTCTTTCTTTCCTTCTTTCACTACTTGGTTTCATCCTTCTCTCTTTCTTTCATTCCCTCCCCCTTTCTTCCTTTGCCTTTCTTCCCTCCCTGTTTGCTTCCTTCTTTCACTTTTTATTTCCTTTTATTTCACCACCATCATAACAATAACAATAATGCAATGCATTGCCTCTGGGACCTGACACCTCTCCCATTCCCCCAGGGTCTAATAGGAATAATAGCATAATAATAATAGAAATAACAACCTTTACCCGCCACGTGTTGCTGTGGCCAACCTTCCCTCTTTCTCTCCTTCTTTCCCTCCTTCCTTCTTTCCTTCCCTCCCATCTTTCCTTCTCCTCTTCCTTCTCTATCTCTTTCCTTCCTTCCCCCTTTTTCTTTCTCTTCTGGTCTCTTTTCTTCCTTCTCTCTTTCCTTCTTTCCTTCCCTCCCTCTTTCTCTACATCTTCCCCCTTCCTTCATTCCCTCTTTCCTTCCTTCATTCCCTTTTTTCTTTCCTTCTCTCCTTCCTTCCTTCCCCCTTTTTCTTCTCTTTCTTCCTTCTTTCCTTCCTTCCCGTCTTTCCTGGATTCCCTCTTTCTCTATATCTTCCCCCTTCCTTCACTCCCTCTTTCCTTCCTTCCTTCCCTTTTTTCTTCTCTCCTTCCTTCCTTCCCCCTTTTTCTTTCTCTTCTGGTCTCTTCCTTCTCTCTTTCCTTCTTTCCTTCCCTCCCTCTTTCTCTACATCTTCGCCCTTCCTTCACTCCCTCTTTCCTTCCTTCATTCCCTTTTTTCTTTCCTTCTCTCCTTCCTTCCTTCCCCCCTTTTCTTTCCCTCCCTCTGTCTCTCATTTCTTCCTTCTCTACCTCTTTCCTTCCTTCCCCCTTTTTCTTTCTCTTCTGCTGTCTCTCTTTTCTTTCCTTCCATCTTTCCTTTTCTTTCCTTTTCTTCTTCCTTCTTTCTCTAACTTTCCTTCCTTCCCCCTTTTTCTTTACCTCCCTTTCTCTTTCTTCCTTCTTTCCTTCCTTCCTGTCTTTCCTGGATTTTGACAGGGCGGGAAGGGGCGGGGTGGGGTTTGGAGGTGGCGTGAAGTAAAAGGAGGTAAGATTGGGGCAGGGGAGTGATGGAGCGTGGGGGTGTGTGTGTGTGCGGCGGCGGGGGGAGTGATGGAGCGGGGGGTTGTGTGTGTGCGTGCGCCAGGGGGTTGCTGTGTGTGCGCGGGGGGGAGTGATGGAGCATGGGGTTGCGTGTGTGTGTGCGGCGGCGGGGGGAGCGGTTGATGGAGGGGGGGGGGGGTTGCGTGTGTGTGTGCAGCGGCGGGGATGATGGAGCGTGGGGTTGCATGTGCATGTGGCGGCGGGGGAGTGATGGAGTGGGGTTGCTGTGTGTGTGCGGCGGCGGGGGAGTGAGGGGGGTTGCGTGTGTGTGTGCAGCAGCGGGGGGGAGTGATGGAGCGTGGGGTTGCGTGTGTGTGTGCGGCGGTGGGGGGAGTGGTGGAGCGTGGGGTTGCGTGTGTGTGTGCGGCGGCGGGGGGGGGTGATGGGGCGGGGTTGCGTGTGTGTGTGCGGCGGGGGGAGTGGTTGTGTGTGTGCGTGGGGCGGGGGGAGTGATGGAGCATGGGGTTGCGTGTGTGTGTGCGGCGGGGGGGGAGTGATGGAGCGTGGGGTTGTGTGTGTGTGTGCGGCGGTGGGGGGAGTGGGGTTGCGTGTGTGTGTGCGGCGGCGGGGGGAGTGATGGAGCGTGGGGTTGCGTGTGTGTGTGGCGGCGGGGGGAGTGATGGAGCGTGGGGTTGCGTGTGTGTGTGCGGCGGGGGGAGTGATGGAGCGTGGGGTTGTGTGTGTGCGTGCGGCAGGGGGGGGTGTGCGGGAAGCGGCGCGGCGGGGCTTGGAGTGGGCATGGCTTCCGCAGAGGGAACGTTGGCCGGAAGACTGTGTGCGCGCGCCAGGGAACTTGCGGCTGGGCACCAATGCGCATGCTCAGTTGTTTTGCCATTTTGTGAGTGTGTTGTGTTGTTTTTCATTTTGAGTAGATATGTTTGTACCTTGTGGGTTGTGTTATGGGCATGGGAATTTTGGTTAAGTTTCGTTGGGGTTTTTTTGAGTTTTGTTGTTTTGCCGTTTTGTGAGTGTGTTGTTGTGTTGTTTTTCATTTTGAGTAGATATGTTTGTACCTTGTGGGTTGTGTTATGGGCATGGGAATTTTGGTTAAGTTTCGTTGGGGGGGTTTTGAGTTTTGTGGCTCCGTTGGATACCCCTAACAAATTTATATATATGGATAAGAGTTTTTGTGACTCCAGAACTGAAAGGAAAGCATTTCTCTTGCCCTTACAACCAGATAAGGATTCCTTATCTCTCTTTTCCTGCAGATGAATTGACCTTTGTTGTGCCTGAGAACTTTGTTTCCAAAAGTCTTGCTTTTTATCTTCACTCTCATTAAATTCTGCACCTGACAAATCATCCTCAGAAGACAGTTGTTTTTCAGAGAAAGACTGTTGAGAGTCTCTCACAGGAATGTGACCTTGTGAATCTACAGGAGAAACACTCCATTCATAAGACACCTCGGGCCTCTCGCCTGGGCTCAGGCCCAGGAAATCCCTCATCCCCAGTGCCAACAGATCCATGCCCAGAAAAACCTTCAACCCCATTACCATCATGAACATCAGACACAGTCACAGGCTAAACTACAACAGGACGTTAAGATCTAGAGAGGTCCTGCTCTCGGTCCGGCCTCGTTCCAGGTGCAGTTGGCGGGGACAAGAGACAGGGCCACACTCAGTGGTAGCCCATCAGCTATAGAACTCACTCCCCAGTGTAATTATATCGCCCCCTCCCTCCTGACCTTCAGAAAAAGGCTAAAGACATGGAGGTGGGATCAAGCGTTCAGTTAGTAACTCACCAGTGCAGTAAAAGAATATGGAGTAGTGCAATGACAATTTGGAATGGCCATGGACTATGGTTATGGATAACATGATTTTGAATAAGTGGTTTAAGGTTTGATTCATTTTTAATGATTGTTTTAATGTATATGCTTATTTTACTATATATGTTTGTATGGCTCTGAATTATTGCCTATATATGGAACCCACCATGAGTCCCCTACGGAGTGAAAAAGGTGGGGAATAAATATGGTAAATAAATAAATAAATGTTGTGCCTGGCTATGGGGATGTAGCCAAACAGCTTTTACACACTGACTTTCCACCTTTAAAGTATGAATGGATATGAGCACACCTCCAGGGCTTTTTCACTAAATTGGGGAGAGAGAGAAAGGAAATATCAACCCTTACAGCCCTCCAAAAAGCACATTGATATGTTAACTGGAAACCTATGCATGGCTATGTCCTTAATTGAAGACCTGCCATACTTATCTATATTTTAAAAAATAGGAAGACCATGAAACAAATGCATATGAAGCAGATTTTCTTTGCAAATCATTAGAATTAAATTTTCAGCATAAGTTGACAGAGTATGTTGATGTTTTATTCATAACTTGTACAAAACAGCAAGAATGAACACCCGTAATTAGGAGAAAAGTAATGCAAGGTGTGCTCAAAAGCTATTACTAAAATTATTTAATTATCCAAAATTGAAATTAAATATATAGAAATGACAGTGGGATCTGAAATTGTAATTTCAGTGTTTTGTGAGCAGAGAGAAAAATTGTAAATTTTTCATATGCCACAAATTCCAGAACATCCATTCCAATGGGAAAAGATGCATGTTCTCATAGGCTGGGCGGTAATCCCATATGAAAACGACAGGTTCCTGCTTGCCTCATCAATTCCTGCTCGATTAAGCAAGAATTGTTCTATGCGCAAAAGTGATAAAGAGGTCTACAGCTTTTACTGCTTCCGCTGCCCCATTGCGGCACACGTGGGAGCCACATAAATCACTCTCTGGGGCGGAAGATTGCCAGTAAGAGCCACACATGTGCAAAGCTAGTCAAAATGACAGATGGTTCCTCTACTACACATCAGGGCTTAAAGTGGTTTAAAAATGAGACCGGCAGTAATTTGACAGCTAACTTTGATTTTGGCATTGCCCTTACACTTTTGCTGAGAAGCGCACAATCTATTTTCTATGTTCTAAAAACTGTTTTGAACTTTTAATAACATGTTGCACCATATATTGTTTTCACTGTATTTTCTTTTACTGTTATGTTATAACTCACAGTTATATATTAAAGAAAAAAACCCTCTGGTTTCCTTAAAAAAACAACAACTTTGAGA